TAGTGTGCCAGGCCTGGACTTTAAGCGTGCACCGAATTAAATAATGACAAAGTTTGTCAATAACAAAATCAAATATTTAATTAAACTTCTAGTAATAAACTATATACAGTATTTAGTAAAAATCAAACAATAATTTATTCAATGAAATTCAATAAGAATCAACCCGACAAACTCAAATCAATCTATTTCTAACTTAATTCTATTCCCCTTTGGAATTCGACAAAAATCAGAGACTTAACTTATAAACAATATTTCTTATAAATTAAAGATCCTAATCGTCACCTCAATATACTAGGAACCTATTTCCTCAAACTCTCAAGACTTTCTATAATCGTCGATCCATAAATCGAATAACTTCAAAATCGCCTTGGAACTATTTGATCCTATCGGACACCTCTCTCGTTCACTGCTACGAAGCTCACCAAAGCTCGTTGCTATTGTTGCTGCAAATTAACACTGGCACAGTGTTAATTTGCTCACTGAGAAGTGGAAAGAAGATTGCCTAGTCAGATGAACCTCAATTCTTTCTGCATCATAATGATGGAAGAACATGCCCCTGGCACAAACTATCCAGTGTGGTATTAACATGTTAAGCCAGTAGTTGTTTGTAATAGTATGAAGAAGTTATCCAATCATTTTTAAAGCCTCCTATCAATTGACAAATATCCAAATACTGCATTGAAAACCAAGACTTCTTATATCTATCAGTATTAGTGAAAATGGACATTTCCACCAAGCCAATAAACTACATCACAAGCATCATATAATAAATGATTCAATGAGAATGACAAGTTGATCTCAATGGTCTATGCTCTCTTTGGATATCAGCCCAAATCAAATATCTTTTGAATGAGGCAGAACAAGCTGTATTAATTCAACCTATACCACTATCTAATGTAGCATTGTATACCACTATCTAATGTGGCATTCTGATGTTGGCATGGTAAAGTATTCTTACTTCACATTCAAACACCACATAGAATCCTTTCTATAACACATTGCAGTTGTCTGAAAATGGAGAGAGGTATCACTTTCCATTATGTAGAATTATCTTATAACTTGGTTTCTAAGTGTATACAGGGTATCCCATTTTAATCAGTTGGGGTTAACTTCATTTTCTTAAATGGAAACTCCCATTTTTATGGTATATTTGATTCTGCATCAAAAACAAAAACTATTATCTAAAGCATGTTTTTTAAAAGATGCATTTATCAAAAGTTATGAGTTGTTGAAGTTTTACAGAGCCACCAAACAGTGCATGCATGAGTCTGTGGATAACTGTGAAGTTCATTGAAAAAGAAAAACATTAAAAAAAACCATTAGGAAACTATTATTATTTGGTGAAATCAAGATCAACATCTTATCTTTATCATACACTTGATGGCTTTAACACTTCTGTTACAGTAGCAGTAATTTTTGTATCAGTTCACTAGCAAAGAAAGCCCAGTGTTGTTCAGGAACTCAGGAAGGGGATTTAATTGTCCTCATTATACAAGGTCTGTTCAAAAAGTATCGGACCTTATTTTTTTCCGCGTAAACCAATGATGCGAGAGAGGCCTCCTTCGGTGGAGTTGTGGAGGGGACAGTCATGCACAGCCCTGAATTTTTTCCTGCCTGCAGAAAGCGTCAGTCGTTGGCAATCGGCGTATGAGTGAGGTCATGTAGTGCGCTCTCGTCGGATTTCACTAAGCTGGAAAATGACTGAACAACGTGAGCAGCGATATTACATCAAATTTTGCCAAAAACCTTGGCGATACCCGAGTGTAAACCATTCGCAAGATTCAGCAGGCTTTCGGGGACGATCCTCGAGGCCAAAAAAAGCGCGGCAGGTCCGCAGCAATATCAAAGGTCATGTTGACAGTTTTTTCGACTCTCGTGGGGTGGTGTGTCGTGAGTACGCACCACAAGGCCAAACCATCGCAAAGGAGTACTACCAGGAGGTCCTTCGTCGTCTTTCCGATACAGTGCGATGCAAACGATGGGATCTGTGGTCGATCAAAACTTGGCAGCTCCATCGTGATAACGCATCCGCCCATTCTGCGCATCTGATTCGGGCTTTCGTCGCCAAACACAATACTCCTGTGGTTCGTCACGCTCCGTATTCTCTCCACATGGCTCCGTGTGACCTTTGGCTATTTCTCAAGCTGAAAATGCCGCTAAAAGGAACCCAAATTTAGTCGAGAGAAGACATCGTGCGAAATGCGACGGACCGGCTGATAACCATTCCAAAAGATGCGTTCCAGCAGTGTTTCCAGCAATGGCAGAAACGCTGGGAGAAGTGTATACATTACCAAGGAGACTACTTTGAAGGGGATTAGGGTTTTGTTCCTCAAAGTCAATAAATTTATTTTTGCCGACCAAAGGTCCGATACTTTTTGAACAGACCTTGTAAGGAAGCATATGTTTCCCACAGAGTGGCAGAGAGTAACTATGCAAAATTTGGTGCAAATCAGTCAAAGGGTTTGGTAACTTGGGGATGAAATCAGGGAATAGAAGTGAGGATCTGAGTTTTAAAGTAGCACATATTTTTTGGAAAACTGTAGAGACTAATTATGCAGAATCCAGTCCAGATCAGTTGAAGGGTTTGGGAGTTCCTAGGAAATCACCAGGAAGGACTGAGGGAGTCCAAGTTTTAACATAGTTTATGGAAAGTAATAAGCTTTCCAATGGTCTCTTGACGTAAATGTATTTCATGACAATTGCAACTTTCTTTTACACATCTTATTGTTGATATGGCTCACTCACACAATACATCTAAAAAGGAACCAAAGAACTCAATTTATGTAGGTAGATATCTGATAATATAAGACTAATTCTTATTTTTAAATAATGGTATGGTAGGATTAAAACTAAAATAATAAACAGATAAAAATGCTATAAGCCTATGTACAAAAGTTTAGCTTTATCTAAGGGAAGTAAGTATTGACAAATAAGTAAGACTGCTTCTTATAATTGTATGTGATAACATAAGAGTATTATTGTAAGAAATGACTAACCAAAAACAATATAAACAAAGCATATACACAACTACACAAACTGCATGAATCAAAAACAAACCAAAAATAAAAGATAAGTAGTTTAAAAAAGTCAATCAGATGGTGAAGGGGAATGACCTTGAATCATCATTAATATAAGAAAATTAATCATAATAAGTGATAAATTTGTAAACAGACACTTGTAAAATTTGGTTACTTCCAACTTTTGTAAATTTCTTGAAATTCTTCAAACAATGTCATTGCTATTTAGTAATAACATCTTAAAAATTAAATTCTTCAGATAATGTCTTTCCTTGAGATTTATAAAATCTTAGGAAAATTATCTGAAAAATTACTTACTTATAAATTTACTAATCTTATAAAGATTTTACAAATCTTAGATTTATTTATTTCAAAAGCACTGACCAATATTTTTCTGTGTATATATGTGAAAGGTAAATTATCTTTCTGTTGTATTGTTCTCTTATTAGAAAATTATTATTATTAACATTAATATATAATAATAATATCTTGAAACTAAATTTTTCAAATTTCTTTCTACTTTCAACTTACTTCTAGTTTGTTTGAGAAATCTTCTTCATAAGGCACAAATCTATTTTGACCTTCGGTTCTATAAAACCATGTGCACCTCCTTACTATTGTTGGAGATTCATTCCAATAAACTGCCTTTCTAAGCCGTTCACCAATAAAAACATCATATCTTCCTCCATCTGTAGCAACAACTGCATTATTTGGATCTAAAAATAAAACAATTTTCCAAGTTTTTCATTCATTTATGTCATTTTATTGCATCTTATACACTAGTAAAATTATTATTAAATAAATTCTATACAAAATAAAATTATAAATAATTTTATTTATATATAATTTACAAAATAAACTTTTAACAAAACATTAATTCTAGTTAATTAAAAATAAAGACAGACTGAATAATAAAATTAGGCTACTTTTAGTATGCTAGAAATTAATTACCAGACTAACCCGTTTAACACTTTTGAGATAAATATCATTTAGTTTGAGATAACTTTAATGATTAAACAATGATTTTTAGACATTTCAAGTATCTCTAAATACTTCAAAATTAATTTTGAATTTAAAAATTCAAATATGTGTTAACATAATAATTCTTTATTTAAATTACTGTTTTATTTTTTCCTAGATAATAAATCTTTCATAATTTTATTTTGAAAGTTGGTATGTTATTAGTTAATACATTGCAATTTTTTTAAACTATTTGAATGCATTTTATTGATATATAACTGTTCAAATATAAGAATTTCATAATTTTTTTGTTTTATTGATTTTTTAAACAGTTATTGAATTTGGGTTTTTAGACTTTAAAATGCATAAATACAATTTTAAAGTTTAAACAAAGTATATCAATTTAAAAAATATAATAAATCAGATTTTTTATTAAATTACATCTTTTAATGCATCTTTATTAGAAATTAAACTTGAAGATGACACACATTTATATATTACAAAAATAAATATTTCAAAAGTTATAAAAATGAAATATTATAAAGTTTAATAGACTGCATTTAATATCTGTAGATTTATTTATTTATTATTGAAAGAATATCATACAATACCATATCAAATGCATTACTTCAATTATATTTTTGAATATTATTTTCAGATATTGTTTATAATAACTGGATTTGTATAAACAAGTTAAATTATAGATAAATTAAAGTATTATTAACATACAAAATTAAATCAATTATAAATCAAAAACGGAATTCTTATCATCTCAAAAACCAAAAAAATTTATTATGAGGGGCGCATAAAATACTGTAAACTCAATGTTTCTCATAATTAGTTCATCAAGGACTGCTGACAAACAAAATTATACAACATAACAGGAAGGACTCAGTAGGAAAAAAATTGCTAAACTTACTTGTTCACTCTAAATCAGGGCTTCTTAAACTTTCTTTATTCGCGACCCCATTTATGATTGTGATTTTTTCCGCGACCCCCCATATATAAAATAAAGATATAGGCCTATACAAATTTGCCAAAACAATAATGGTGTACTACCACAGTTCACTCTTGTGTTACAATGTTCCATTGTAACACAAGAGTGAACTGTGAAAAGTGACAACACTACATTGAATACATTGAAAAGCGACAACACTACACTAGTTTACACTACAATCAGTGTTGCTGAATCATTGTCTCTCTGCAACAGAAGTGACACAAAGCGCAACTCACGAAACCTATGATACAAAGCGTGCCATTTTCAAACTCACAAATTATTTTCAATATTTTGCATTAAAATCTCGCGACCCCAAGATTTCGCTAAGCGACCCCAAATGGGGTCGCGACCCATAGTTTAAGAAGCCCTGCTCTAAATCATTACAGTAAAAAATCTAAAACCAATTCTCTACTAAACAAAAACCTGCTTAAAAAAAGCTGACAGGGGCTCTTGCTCAACTTTCCTGGTACTCTAGGTTAAGGAAGTTAAAGGAACAACTAGAAAGCCCAATAATTTTCAATTATTCTATGATATAAAATTTAAAAAACAACAAAGCTTAAAACAGAGTAATTTTATTGAACTATGATAAAAATCTCTATCTCGAAAAATATTTAAGTTTTAAAAATACTAACACACGTTAACTCAAAGTTAAAATTGTGCATGGTATCATATGTTATGAGATTTTTATTAAAAAAAGAATTTTTATATTATTAATTATTATTAAATGGCAAATGGCTTAATTTTGATGATAGAGAATAGTTTTTAAGAATATTGTAAATGCCAGTAAAGTAAAATTTTCATTACATCTGATTCCACTTGAGATACGATACATGACCCCCTTCTATTTCACCACCTTTAATCACCAAAATTTAATAGTATCAATGTCTTGTACATAAAAATAACCCTGTCTACTTTAAAAATTTTTGGTTCATCCAATCCTGAAGTATAATGCAAAATAGACAATCCCCCCACACAATTTCGTAAGTTTCTTACTTTACATTTTTGGGTATGAAGAGTATCAAAATATTAAGAAATGAAAACTCAGAAAGGTAAAAAATTTGACCAATCACCATACTTTTTCAATGTTATATTCTATAACAGCTAGGAAAGTAATAGAAAATAAATCTCAGAATAAATGATTTTCTACACAAAATACTATTATAAGTTTAAAATCTGTCTAAATACAGAAACAGGAGACTTTTTGGGTACAAATTATATAACAACCTAAGTAAGATAGAATTTTTCAGTGTAACAGCAGCTAAATTCTAAAATCATAAAATAAAACATATTCCAGAACATTGGTTATTTTATGCAGATTTTCCCCATGCGTGTTTTTTCCACTTATGTATTTCAAATAAATGCTATATGTGAAAATCATAAATGTTTTGTTTCAACATGTCTTTGAAAGATAAAACACTTTCATTGGAAAAAATGTGATTCTAAAAGCAAATTACAAGATTTTTTCAATTTTCTGATTTTCTCCATTAATAAAAAGATAACCTTCCATAAAACAAATCTGTCAAAGTGAAAAAATTCTGCCTAGTATCATCATATTCTATTTTAAATAGATTTTACTATAATACTGTAACAGTTACAAAACATTTTATTTTATTATTGACAACAAAACTAAATTATTGATTAAAAGCCACTAACAAAGAAATTTCAATAACTGAAGAAATATTTTAGTATGAACTTTTTGTTGTACAATATAGTAATTGGTTTAGTTTATTTTTAATGTAATATGTAAACATTTAGAATACTTAATTTTTAAGTGATTTTTGCATACTTAAAAGTTTTATTTTACCTTGCTTATAAGCTTCTTCAAGACTCACAGAGTCAAGCATACTAAAGGGTAACCAAATCTCTCTCTTTTCAATTACTCTCATGTAAAACCAATGTGGTTGAATTGGTTTGTAATTTTGATAAAATATATTTCCTGGTTGGTTTTGTTCAGATACAGATGAAAATTGGTGAGCTGATGATAATGTTGAAATTGGTATTTCCTGACTTGTTGCAAAATTTGAAGGAGATGGCTGAAAAGATGGTGGAGACATTTGAATAGGTTGTGAATTCTCATGTGGTAAAGGTGGTTGAAATATAGTTTGGTGTGGAGAAGCATTGAAATTAGGAGGTGGAGCATAAACAGCAGGTCCCTTCCGTCTAAAATCTTGCAGTGGTCCTGAAATAAATATTTTAAAAGTTTACAAATTTTAAAATTTTAATTACCATTAATAACTGAATATTAAGTTATCTAATAAATCTAGAGAGGTTCTTTCAAATAGATAAAGAATTATGTGACAAAATCATCCAGAAGAAATCAGTTATTTTGTTAAAAAAAATAAATCATACATATCAGAAAACTTTTATGAAATCTAAATTGTTAGACTGTTATAAAAAAAAATTTTTATAAAAGATGCCAATTTGTATGGATTACAATTTTCTGCTATCTTGATAAAATAAAACTCAATAAATCTATAAAATCTAGATTACAATATTTATGAACAGGCATACAACATAATTTTATCCAGTAAGTATAGAAATACAAGAAAAATACTCCCAAAGCTATGAACATTGATTATATATATAATGCCTAAGATATCATCCATCGACATTAACATAAACTGCAACAAAAACTAGTTTATTAATTAAAAGTTTAAATTAAATTCAGAGGTTATTGAAAAATAATATATATCTTATGGTTTAAATGCATTGTATTATAAAAAGAATATTTTATTTAAATCTCTGACTTAATTAAAATTTGGAATGTTAACAATGAGTCAATATATAACAAATATTTAATTTTTTAAAATAAATTAAATTAGAAATTTTTATGTTGGAAGAGAAGTAGAACAAAATTATGCATATATGTTTTAACCGTAATTTTATCCTTAAAAATTTCATTAGTTTTTAACAGTATAAACTTATGAAGTAAAATATAAAAGAATTTAAATTCACATCTACAGAGTTTGGCAGAAAGCTAAATATAATCATGGATCAGATAATACTGGAATATCATAGCTTGTGTGTCTTTTTTTCATTGATCATCATCATTGGTTGTTTTGAATCCTTTAATTGTTACTTAGATTTAGAATATTCTATCTTAAGTTAATTATTACTATTATTTTTTAAATAAGAAAGAGAATAATTAAAATTTGTTTTTAACTAAGCTCCTGTACTAAAAATACAGTATAGTCCCGCTAGTCCGAACACTGCTAATCCGAACATGTTTCAGTCAGTAGAGAGGAAAGTTTTTAGCTCACAAAACATGTTTTTTGTATTTTCCAGTTGAATTTAAATAGTATTAATGGTACAAAGAGATTTAGAATTCCACAACAAAAAAACAAAAAAAGTATTTTATTGTAGTACTGTATTATTACTTTACAAAATTAATACATCAGTATTTGACATGGCCTATTAAAACAGCAGATCTATACTGTACTTACATACAAAAACAGAAACAAAAGTCATTGATAGTGTTGGATCTATATAAACGGGACCTGTTTTACTGCTTGCTTCTGCATTATTTCAATTATTTGGCTAATCTGAACAGGACTTGGTCCCAATTAGTTCCAACTAGCAAGACTACTGTAGTTTAAAAAAATTTGAAACCATAACATCATTTTCCTCTTTTATTTGGAAATTATCCCAAATACTCTAATGAATTACTGAAAATTTTGGCTTATAAAAATTGAATTAATCACAAATTTTAAGTGCTAAGATTTAAAGTTTTAATTAGAAGAACAAAAGTATATATTAAATATTTGTTAATAGTCTACTATATTATTTTGAAATATATATATATATAATAAATTTCTTTAACCAAACTAGCATGCATTTTAATTATATGAGAAAATTGCATAACCCTCAAACTAACAAATTTACAACACAATTTTTGTAATTTATTCTTGCAAAATCTATTTTTCATATGTGTAATGCAAATACATTATTTTGATTATTATTTATTTTAAAATTGTTTAACTGAATTTCTATAAGTATTTTATCTCTAATAAAAATTCTGGTCAAGAAAGATTTAGCAAGTACTCTCTCTCTCTAGAAAGTTTTCGTTTCATTTTGAATTAGCAGTTTGTTTTATAAGAACAGTGAATTCATTTTGTAATGACAGAAAAAACTTTTCTACCTTGTCAAAGGAAAAATCTTTTTATGTTAAAATCTTCAAGATTAAATAAAATAAGAATAATGTCACAAAAGTTGAAAATAGATATTTGAAGATGTACTTTGATTTAAACTCTATTTCAATTAAAGAAGATATTTTTAAAAATAAAATTACTTTTAATATGATATAGTATTTTGTTTTAATGTTTAAGTTCTGTATATTTGATAACCTTCTGTATTTTTGACATTTATGAAATTTCGTAGGTTCACTCTCAATATTCTATTTCAAATTATTTTATAATTACATCTATGAGAACTGCCAATGGAAATGAAACAGGAAAAAAAAAAACCCCTTCTAAACTGCTTACAGTAAGCATAATGCTTTCAACAACCACTGGAGATGTCATATATATGGTGATGCAGGTTTTGTAAAGCTTTTTTTTTTTCCATTCTACAATTATTGCAGAGTATGCACTTGTGAGAATTACACACAAAACAATAATATATTAATCTATCATTTAGCTTCTTCTTTGTTTTACTTGTACTGTTAACACTTTCTTTTTTTAGTTTCTTTAGCATTTTAACTACATCTTAGAATTAATTATGACAATTATTTACAAATTTTAATAAAAATAATTAATTTTAAGCAAAATGAAGACTTGTTTAATGCATTTACATTTTTGCAAAACTAGATAATTTTAAGCCAAATGATCCCGTAATTAACTGGGCTATTAATATGCTACATTTAATTATTAGAAACTAAGTAATTTGGCACTAGAGGTTGATGTTACGTGCCATCACTTATGTAAATTAATAATTATAATAATTTAGAATGTCTTGAAAGAAAAGAAATGGTGCCTAATTTAGATAGGAGATGGTGCATAGCATTATCCCTAGTACCAAATTACTTAGTTTCTAATAATTAAATATAGCATATTAATAGCCCAATGAATTACGGCAATAATTTGGCTTAGTACCAGTACATTGGGTTTCAGAAAGTTAATATTTATACATAATTTTAATTTAAAATTTTTACATTTATTCTCTAGAACATTCATTTAAACTTACCTCCTACTGGTGGTCCTGTTGGTGGTGAAGTGGTAATATTATCAAAGGAAATGGAGGAAGGGATAGATGGTTGAGTTGCCTGAACAGGTATGTTAGAAAAATATGTACTAGTTGCAGCATACTGAACTTCTGTAGTAGAAACAACAGGTGGAGGCATATTATAATCAAGTGGTGGCTGATTTGCAGAATTTGGAGGAAAATTCATTTGAGCACTTGGAGCATTTGGAAATAAGGGTGGTTCAACAATATAAGATTCCTTTTGCTGAGGGGAATTTAATGTTGGCTGTTGAAGAGATATATCTGATTTTGATGAAGTAATAGAAGTGGTGGTATTATAACTCTGATTAACAAAACTATCTATTTCGGCACCATCTGAAAATATATATTTTAATATTCAATTAAAAATAAATTATTTTCTTAATTTTAAAAAATTATTTATTAATGTGCATTGCATACCATTTCAGAAATTAATAATATAATTTAATAAATAAGTGTGTTAACTGTCATTTTATTTAGCTAAATACCAAATCTGATGTTAGTTTTTTTTCTTTTCAGAGAGTATAAACAAAGCATTTTTATGCTATGTTTATTTATACTCTCTCAAATTAAAAGGCAACTGATAGACTTAATTCTACTATTATGTCAGCTTAATGTTAAACAAAATTTTATGTAAATATGTTTAGTTTTGTTAATTGTTATATAAATTAATTAACATATACAGTGGAACCTCGCTTAATGAGCATAATTCATTCCAGAAACTTACTTATAACACGAAACATTTGTTAAACAAAACAATTTTTCCCATATAAATTAATGTAAAATATGATAATGTGTTCCATGCCGGAAAAAAAAAATACTCAAATATTTTATGTATGATGTTTACTCAAAAAAAATTATACAATATACAATATCAATATTGTTAAGAAGTGTGAATCATCATCATCTTTTCTTCTAGCGTGAATTTGCTCCCAGCAAATTGACTAGCAAATTGAATTTGCAGAAAACGAAAAAAAAAATCAAAATAATTAGTTTATTATTTATGATACAGTACATACAGCACCTAATTCTTCTTTACTAGAAAGCTGTCTAGAAACATTTGTTTTTGCCACAACTTCAAAATTTGGTGAAAATACGACATAGCATTATCATTAAATAAATTTGTAGTGCACAAGCCACTGTCTTATTAGGGTAATTTCAACCTGATTCAACCAACCATAGATCAAAAAAATTCAGAAGAAAAAAAATTCCAGAAAGATCCAAAAAGCAAAATTTGAATTTTCTTGTATTATAAATACTGTTTGTTTTAGTTTATGTATTTTTCTTTCAGGTCATTAAATGAAAGCAATCTATAAGTTCTAAAAAATAATAATAACACTGGACAACAATGATTTTGTTTCGGGCTCAAAATTAGCATATTCTTATATATTTTCATCTGCTGAATTCAAAAATCACTATAAAAATGACTGATTAGCTCTTGCTTTGGAGCAGCAGTTCCCAACCAGCGGTCCGCAAGAGCTAAAGTATGGTACACGAAAGATTTAAAGCTTTTATTCATTTTAAATTATAATTTAAAATGATTGACGTAATCTAAATAATACAAAATACATGAGAAAGCTTTTATAGTAAAATTTGTAAAAAAATGTTTCATTACAAAATAGTGCATCTTCAATTATTTCAAATTTTCATTGGTGGTTATCCAGTAAAACTCCTCATATCAGCATATAATAAAACTACACTCTATTATAGTATATATATTTATGCAAACATGACAGCCTTCCTTGACTCAATCAATTATGCTGAGCACAAGTGGAAAATGTGTGGCAATCTAAAAGTCATCGCCGTACTCTTAGGAATTCAACTGGGGTACACTGAATACTGTTGCTTTTTATGTATTTGGGACAGTAGGGATAGGAAATCACATTACATTCAAGCGGACTGGCCTTCAAGAAATCTTGACTCTACCAAGAAAAATATCATTGCCGAGCCTCTTGTGGATCCAAAAGATGTTCTTCTTCCACCTCTTCATATCAAACTGTGTTTAATGAAAACTTTTGTCAAAGGTATGAACCAGAAAGGACAGGCATTTAAGTACTTAAGAGACAAATTTCCTAGATTGAGTGATGCAAAGGTTAAGGAAGGTATTTTTGTTGGGCCATAAATTCAAAAACTTGTAAAGGATCCCGCGTTTGACCAAGTTTTGGAGGGAAAAAAAAAGGAAGCTTGGGAAGCCTTAAAAGGAATTATTCGTGGATTCTTAGGCAACAAAAGAGACGCTAACTACACTCAGTTGGTGACAATACTTCTGGAAAAATATCATCAACTTTGATGCAACATGTCTCTCAAAATCCATTTTCTCCATTCCCACCTAGACTTTTTCCCTCCTAGTTGTCCTAGTTGCAACATGTCCCTCAAAATCCATTTTCTCCATTCCCACCTAGACTTTTTCCCTCCTAGTTGTGGAGCTGTTAGTGATGAACATGGGGAAAGATTTCACCAGAATATTTCTGTATTGGAACAAAGATGGAATGAAGCAATGCTTGCAGATTACTGCTGGTCTGTGTGTAGGGATGTACCAGAACTCACTTACAAGAGGCAAGCCAAAAGAAAATGATCTCATGAAGTCACCACATGATTCTCTTCACACCAAACCACCTGCCAGGTATTCTTCTATTAATTTAGAACTCTTAGAATGTTACTGTAATTTTTAAAAAATGCAAAAGCCCTTTCAATGTTGTTAGCATATGTAATTAAAATTATCGTTTTCTCTTATTCTGTTAAAATCATCTATTGAATACCAGAGAAACTAGAGCTAATAAAAATCTTTCTTTGTCATATTCAATTTTCTCACCCCAAAATTAGTAAGATTTCACTCATGAAATAAAAGAAACATTCAAAAACATTTTTTTTTGTTGTCCAGTGTAATTAGTTAGGTGTGAAGTGGTTGCATCTGTATTGTACATGCACAGACATTGTTACCTAAACAATACCTAAACAATGAACATTAAGTAATCCAGAGATTAAAGTATACAGGATAATGTGCATAGGTTATACGCAAATATTAAGCTATCTTATATATGGGTCTTGAGCATCCATGGGGGATCCTGAAACCAGTTCCCCACAGATACCAAGGAAGGACTGTTGTTTCACCATTTCAATTTTTAGATTATTATTATTATTATTAATTAATTAATTAAATTATATTATATTATCATCATACAATGATGATAATATAATATAATTTAATTAATTTGATTATATTTTGGTTATCAGTTATTATTATTATTGTTAACTGACAACCAAAATATCATCAAATTAACAGAATGAATCATTAAAGTAGTTTTTTTGCCTCTCTGTCTCAAATAGTTTTTGCATGAATATGAATGATAGTTACATGTGAGTGGTAGAAAACCAGTGATTCATGTAACATTGCTTCCAATTTTCTCAAACTGTTGTAAAGTTTATTTCAGTTTGGCTTCTGAAATTAAGAGTAAATAATAAATTTAAATCCAATAAGTGTTCAAATCATTACTAAAATTATTTTCAGAAAAGTTCTTTCAACTAAGAATGCCATGTTATTAGATAGCAAATGTACTTAAGCCACTATAGCATAAGTCAGAAGTATCTCAAAATTATTTGTTGCAAAAGCAGTTTATGTAATTGATCAAAGCCATAACATTACTTTCAAGGCTACAGATTTATACCCAAATTTTAACAGAGGTCTAGAACATTTTTCTAAACAACATAATATACATTTATTTTATGTTGTACTATGATTTTAATTTTAATCTATTAGATTTACTTACAATTCTTTAAAACAAATTGTTTTCAAAAAGCACATAAATTTAGGCTACTGCTGATGGCCTAAATTGCTAAATTTAGACCATTAGCAAACAATTAATTTAGGCTATTGTAGCTGCTGATTCCAGGATTTTCACTGACATCATCTTCATCTTCAGTTGAAATTAAATTCTTATAAAATGTATATGATGATGGAATGAACTAGAAAAGCTACATGAGGACTTTCTTAATAGAAATAGGTCCATTGTAGAGTGGTGACAGTTCCTTTGGTAAATGTAACATTCCTCTTTTATAAACTGTTTGCCAACATTTAGTTCTCTAAAGTTGATAGACTCATTTACATTATAGTTTGAACTGCATACACCATGGTTTTTGCTTAAAAATGACAGCCACTTTATGTTCAAGGTTATTGTCCTTGTGTTTTTTCTAACTATTGCAATATCTTAATATTCTCAGCCAAATATTTATCTGCATTAATACCATATATGCCTTCTGGAAATAAGCATTACAGAACATAATAAATATTGAACTAGCTAACAGCAACTTAAGTGCTATACTGATTCATTTTCACATGCATTGGAGTACATGAACTAGTATGTTGTACAAGATAAACATGAATTTAAACATTTGCTAGAACCATTCTGGTTCTAACAAATGTTTAAATTTTCAAAGGATTGTCAAATGCACTAGATCAAATTGCACTAGGTGTAACAAAATAGAAAGAGTATTTCTTGAATTATTGTGGCATTGAACAATTAATACACTGATGATGCATAACAACAAGGCTTCATAAAATATATTGCTACATGAACACACTCTGGTTCCCAACCATTCATATATTCATATGCACATACAAATAAATTTTGAAAAATTCCATTTCATTCGTACTTCATTTGTTTAACAAGAGTTCTTAATTTATTATAAGATCAATTAAACCTGATGATCTCTTCATTCATATCACAATATTTATAATGGTTTACATTTGACAATAAAAATTCTTCTATTATAAAACAAATAAAAAGAACATTTATGTTCATATAATCAAGTTGTTAAAAGAGTAACTGAATAAGCAAAAGCTTAAATGACTTGAAGTAACTTATCTCCCTTAAAATGATATTTGATTATATGAAATCTATGTCAGCAAGTGCTTTCCTTTAATATACAAATAGAATTTTGTTTTCTACTTTCACATCTTAATCAAATTTCAGCATGGATAGTACAATTGTAATCCCCAATATTTTATGAAAATAAGTTTTGGTTAGAAGTATATCTGACTATTTTTTATTTGATGAATATAAATGCCATTCAGTTAATAAAGAAATGTGTATTTCTTATATATTCTTTTTTATTTAAATATTTAAGTAAATAAAACATAGCAGAATGGGAAACAAAATTCCTATAGGAAATCATAATAAATCAACTGTTAAATTATCAATTAAAATTATAATCAAACATTGTTAAAAAACCTTTAAAATGCAGCTTTTTATTAACTAATCGAATGTTTTTGGCCATTTGAATGACCTTCCTCAGGAATAAGAAAAATTAATGGATTAGTTAATAAAAAGCTGCTGTTT